TTTCTTGAGCAATTATCAGAACAAAGCTCCCTTGGCTGTGTGTACCTTCTAATTACTCAATACAATTAAAATGACTAACCTAAAACAAATAGAAGAAAAAACTGCCTGCCTGATAGCAGGGACTTCATTAAACCTTTCCCCTCATCAATCAAATGAAAAAGAAGGGGATGCCACCAAACCATCATACATGAACATTACAGAGCTATTAAAGGAAGCAAATTCTGTGAGGTTTGATTGCCCCCCCCAACTCCTTTCTTTAAGGGAGAAGTGACTCTCTTGGAAAAAAATAGAAATGCCGTGGTATTTACCCATCTGGATGCTGCTTGAAAACAAATTGTCCTCCAAAGAACAGAAATACAGTATGTTTTCTCTCAGTTCACTGGCTTATGAATGACTTTTTGTTGTTGTTGTTGTTTTGTTAATACATACTCTAATGTCATTTTCTGTGTCTGTGATGTGTGTTTTCCTCCTACTCGTGCAACTGTAGAAAGGAGCTATGCTCATCAGACTTCCATGGGTACACTGGCTATTTCAGCTTTAAGCTTCTCACTGCTGGGTTTTGTGGATGTACTCCATGGTGATGTTTGAAACAATGTAGAATTTTTTCAGGGGAGAGGAATCCATCTCAGGCAAGGCAAACAGTTACTTATTCCTTTTAAAAGACTTATGTAGTTCCTTTTATAAGGCCCAGTCATTAACAGAAGATGACAACAGAGTCATTTTTCTTTCAGCTGACAATTGTGACATTTTTCCAGCAGCATGCAAGGTGTTGAAAACCTGGCAGCTGTTACCTCCTGGGATGAAGATACTTTTTTATCCTCCCTTGACAGTTTAACTCAGTGGGTCATCACCTTTAAAGACTGCAAAGTATCCTTGAAGAGGATGGAAGCTTGAATTACTGCTCCCTCCCTAATCAATGTAAACCCTCACTGCAGGTGAAGTCTCCATCTATAGAGGTGCACAGGGGAGGAAAATGTAATGCCCTGAGCCAGATGGTTTTTATCTTGTTTTTAAAGAATAAAGGAACAAGCTAACAAGGGAGACAGCTACTTTGTTGGCTTCTTGGCCTCTCTCATGGCTTTGCATCCCCAGGGTTCCAGCTACACAAGAGAAAGAATACAGAGAAACTTAAACACTTAAAGAAATATAACTACAGGGCTGGCATCATGCTGCTTCAAAGAGCTGAGAGAGCTCTACTCAATGCTTTATTTATCACTGCCCACGTTCTCAGGATGGTAAGTGGACACACACACAAAAGGGGTGGGGGATGTGAGAAGGATTAGACAGCAGTCACAATTTACTCAATTACAGAGAAAGGCAGGGCTGACAGATCCTATTAGCACCAATGTGAAGCAAAGAAGAGCTGCATGTTGTAATGCTACAGTTTCAAAAAGTAATGAGTCCTTTCATGTGTCCCAGGCCTTTGCCTTCCATAACATTCAGAAGGAAAAGCTGTAAGAACCCATAAAACAGTAGCTATGGCTCCTGTGACTTCATGACTGAGGAGAAAAAGTAGAAAGAAAATTTATTTTGTACGTTTTTAAAAGTTCATACTTAATGCCAAATGACAACAAAGGAAGTTCTGTCTCCCAACTTTCTCCCTCAATATTTCTGGTAATTTCTGTCAGGTTGTGTAAATTCTGTTATGGTGGCCTTTTTGAGAAAGGTTTTATAGTACAAGATTACTATTACTTCTGCTTTAAATGTTCATTGACACTAGTGAAACCATATGAGCATTTTGATAATTAAAATACTATATTTAATAGATATCATTTTGTTTTACCTTGTGCTGGTTCTATTTTTCAAGGAATTGTGCATTTCCTCTAGAGAGCTAAATTTCTGGTGTAAGTTATTTATGATATTCTATTATTTTAATGTTTGTAAGAATTAGTGATAACTCTTCTGTCAGCTCCTCCAATACTAAAATAGCTTTCCAAATTAACATGTAGCAACCATTAACATGTAATCCTATCAGCAGTAGCAAAACTCTGCTTTAGAATAATCTACAGAAATGATTAGGTTTTAATTACAACAACACTAAATTGTTAGATGACAACTGAACTTTTATAATTAAGGGTGAGAATTATTTATCTCATTAGAAATACAGGCAAAAGAATGTCAACTTAGAGGACTGGTCCCACGATGAAAATTCTACTTCTATGGACACAAGTTTTAAATTGGCCTTGACATCTTTTTGTCTATAGATCATGACTATAGACAAATAAAATAGCAAATGGCATTTCCTTTTTGTCAGATGCCACAGAGAAAAAGAGGAGTTTAAACAGCTTATGTATTATGTGCTACCTTAAAAAAAAATCAGCAGTGGGGTAATCAAGTTCAGGGCAGTCTTGGACAGCTGCCCTGTGACCCGCGTCTATTGACCCCACTATTCATCACTCTTTCCTACGATTGAGAGGGCGAGCTCCTAGGGAGTGACCACCACAATAGACAGACACAAGCCAACAGTAATCTGGTTCAAGCAAAAAACCAGATGGCACTGCAATAAATTTACAAATCTGCATTCATGGGGCTGTTGAAACACCCAGGAGCTAAAAAGACTCTGAGGGCCCCAGGAGGATCTCCTACTTCCCTGATTCTAAAGGCCATTTCTCTTTCCAAGAACATTGAGTTCATGCTCTTCACAAAGAGAATGGAGATAAAACCCTTTACAAAGATGGGAGGGGGAGAAGCCTCATGACCTAATTAATCTCCAGAGCTTGGATCTCAACACTGAATGATAAATATTAGAAAAATCATTCTGGAGCACTAGGATTAAAAAAATGTTAAAGTGAAGGGAGTGAAACCTGCTATAACAGCAATGAGAACATTAACTCTTTTTAAAATACTGCACACAGCAGATCCTATAAGTAGAAAATGATTCAATAATGTATGCATTTATTTTTAAAATGAATCAGATTAGTCCCATGCATGACCTGCTGGTCCATCTGTATGTGCTGGACTTAATAGGCATGATTCTTTCTCTTGCTTCAGTTTGAAGTATGAGAGAGATAAATTTAGTTTAATTTTCAACAGATCAGCCTATCCATTTTCCAAATGGACCATCTGGATCAGCCTATTAAAATTAATTTATAACTTTGCAGAGTGAAAATTCGTTTGTTAGCTTAAATAAAGTTGCCAAAACTTTTTGTTGTGTCATTGTTTTTTTGATAGTTGTTTCTGTATAGTGCGCAGAGAGTTTCTACCTCCAAATTTATCTTACCCAATACTGTCCTATTGATTTAGTTTACAGATCTGGTCTCTATTTCCAAATAATTAAAACTGTAACTGTCTCAACAGCAATTACTGATCATTTGTTTGTTTAGAAAGCTTCTTGAATTGACAATTCTAATTCAAAACAATTATTTTTATAAAAAATGGGAAAGTATCCAAAAAAGATTAACATAGTAAATTTAAAAAATGAATGTGACACGTTTTCAAGTACTTCCCTCTAGATTAAAGCTCTGGAAACTAGAGCCTGAAGGCAGAAGTAGAAATGCTGTGGCAGCATCAAGGTCTGAGTTCCACATCAGTGACTAGTCCAACCCCTTCAAGCTTCCATTTGCTTCATTAATAAACTGGAAATCTTATCTACCAACTCTGCAGAGTTGTCATAAGGATTACATGAAATAAATATGTTCATAGTGGGTACCCAACAAAAACTAGATCATGCTCCTATATCCTAGAACAATGCCATAAATACAAGCAAATTAAAATTATTTTTTCTGCTGCTGGTTGTAGTTTATACAATTTTATATTTAAAATGTTAGGTGACATTTATTTTCTGGCACTATTTATGTTACTTCTTGGAGGCAGAGGCACAGAGATAAGCAAAAAGGTTTTATTCCTATCTCTCCTCCTTCTTCCCTCCCTCCCTCCTTCTCCCTCTCCCTTTCCCCCTCCCCTTCTCCCTCCCTCTCTCCCTCTTCCCATGTTTATTTATGTGTGTGGAATGTACATACATGGAGGCCCTCAATGGCCCTGCTCACTGAGGGTCTCTCAAGTAAATCCAGAGCTTGAGAAAACTACTCATATAGGTAGCCAGCTTGCTCCCAACCTTCACAGCGCTGGAATTACAAGAGGCCTATTACAAACCTGTGGGTTCTGGGGTTGGAAACTCTGGTCTTCAAGTTTGCATGGCAAATGCTTTAAATGGTGAGCATTCTCTCCACCCCACAAAATGATTTTAAAGTAATCATCAATAATGGCCCTTACTTCTAGAAAAACAAAACAGATTAAATTCAAATTAAAAGAAACTATCTTTGTTACAGTTGTTTTAATAATTTAAAAAAATGTGATAAATCTTTAGCCAGACATGGTGGTACACAGACCTGTTGTAATTCTAGCCCTTGGGAGGCTGAGGCAGGAAGACTGTGATATCAAGGCCAGCTTGGACTACTTAATGAGACCCTGTCTCAAAAGTTTTTAATCAAGAGCCAGGCATGGTGGCACACATGGCTCAGCAGTTAAGAGTGCTGGCTGCTCTTCCAAAGGACAGGAGTTTGGTTCTCAACACCTACATGGTTGCTATCAACCCTCCATACTCCAGTTTCAGAGTATCTGATGCTTACTTTTGGCTTCCACAGGCATTACATGCACATTGTGCACTTATATAATGCAGGTGAAACATTCATACACATAAAAATAAATTCAAAACATCTTTATTAAAATTAAAATGCATAAATAATATTAATAGAAAAATAAAGATTAGAGTTAACGACTATCCATACTACAAAGCATTTAAGGTCATCTTTCCTAAATAAGAATTTTTTTCTTCAATTTTAGTATTTACCACATATAACTATCTCCTACTTTTGCATCTAGGATGTTTTAAAATGATTGGGAAATAATGTGATCTGACTGAAATTGATGGCTTTGACAAGACCAACTTCAGAATACGGAATTCTTAAACTCCAGTGTTTAAAGAATGGCAAGTCAAGGGTTTCCTGTCTTCTGTTTTGTTGTTGGAAGCTTTTCATTTTAAGTAAGGATGAATTTCATACCTGTCTTAGTGAATTCTTCTCTGGTATTATCTTCCTAGGGGGTTCTCCATTATTACAGTCTTCTCTCTCTGAGGAATTCTGTGAAAGAAAGTAAGCTTTAACTCCATTCTCATTATCTTCAATCTTATTCTGTAGGAGTAAGCTGAATTACATTTCTAATTCTGTAAGTTAGGACACCATGTATATTTATGCATTTGAAGATTTATATACATGCAGAGACACATATAGTGTAAAGGAAAACATGCCTGTGTATATAACTAAATCTATGTAGGGAATGAGTAGAAGATATTTTGTCTATGTTAAGTACTGCCCAGGAGACTCAGACTGATTAAAGGTCTAGTTTATCACACTTTGACACAGGTTGACAATGGAAACAAGAAACTTCTAGGTCATTATTAGCTGATGACAATTTAAAACATTTTAAATTCCTACTTCAAGTAATTAATTTTTAACTACTGTAAATGGTTGATACTGATCTGTAAGTCTGGGATCTTCCAGACTTTTCTTCCTTCTCATCTCACATTTGATTTTTCTTTCTTACATTAAAGTAGCAATGTTAACAAAAAAGTAGCACAGTTCTTAGCACAAAACATTTAATTCATGGTTCAAGGTTAGAGTCCATTTTTGTCACTACCACCTCAAATAGCAGCTACAAGACCCTAAAACATCACTGGGAATTTTATGCACTAAAGAGGATGAAAAACAATCCAATTAAAAACAAGTTCAAAGGAGCTAAAAATCAGCCTCGCAGGGTAGCTTTAATCCCAGCACTGACAGGCAGAGGTAGGTGTGAGTTCAGGGTCAGCCTGGTCTACATAATAAGATTCTAACAACAAGACAGACATAAACAACAAGACAAAAACAATAAATGCTAAAAATCTGCTAGTATACATAATGCAAATCCCTATTTGCAAGGCAAATAAATACAAGGAATTGATACATCCACTGCATTAGTCCAGGACTAACTTCCAACATGCAAACTTACCTGAAAACTGTCATACAAGTAAGTATACAATTATATAATTGTTACTGTGCTGTTAAGTCTATATACAATTTTTTAAAAGTGTGTGTGGGGAAGCCAGGTGTGGTGGCGCACACCTTTAATCCCAGCACTTGGGAGGCAGAGGCAGGCGGATCTCTGTGAGTTCAAGGCCAGCCTGGTCTACATAGTGAGTTCCAGGACAGCTGGGGTTATAGGGAGACCCTGTCTCAAACAAAAACAAAAACAAAAACAAAAACAAAACAAACACAAAGTGTGTGTGGGCGATTAAAAACTGCACATCAACAAGTAGAGGAACAAGACAGTCTCTTTCAAGCATGGGACTCTTGGTAGGTTAATCAGGCTCCAGTGGATGGACCTACACTGAAGGGGACATTTGGAGACACAAATTAGACTCTACAAGCCTTATTATATGTATAATAGAATACATTAAATTGAGTGGGGGGCAATAAGGGGAGGTATAGATAGGGGAAGGGATCTAAATTTTATCAGATTATATCATATAAAAATCAGAAAAATTCAATTAAAAAAGAAAAAAGTAGAGGACTATTGGGCATGGTGGCACATGCCTTTAATTCCAGTGCTTTCTCTATGAGATGGAGACCAGCCTGGCCTACATAACAAGTTCCAGGCCAGCTGGAACTGGGCTACAGGGAGACCCAGTCTCAAAACAAAACAAAACAAAATAAAACAAAACAAAAAAACAAAAAAGTAAAGGAAGGATATAGTTAATGACTATAGAAGATTACAAATAAGGAAACTAGGTACTGTTGTAAAAAAGAATTCTTAACAAGAAAGAGGAAGAAAAACCCATAAACACTTTATTTAATTTTTTATTTTTTTGGCCTTTTGGGGGACAGGGTCTCTGTTTAGCTCCAGCTGGCCTGGAACTCCCTATATAGACCAGGCTGGCCTTGAACTCACAGAGATCTGCCTGCCTCTGCCTCCTGAGTGCTGGGATTAAAGGCGTGTGCCATCATGCCAGGCTGAATTAAGCATTTTTGAACAAAGTTTGACAGTCAGTGTTTCATTTTTCAGATCAGCATAAAGCACAGCAGTTATTCTAAACTCAGTATTTTCAAATTCACATATTTTAAAGTCATGCGAGGTGCAACTTCCCTTTCAAAAGTACTGGCTGTCAAATTTATACCTGTTTCTTCACCGGTATATTTTGAGGTTTAGAATTTTAAAATCTCTATAGATTTTGTGGACTCTTATGTGTTTACTGCCTTTGTGAAGTGGTATATAACTGTACAATTTCATGTGTAAACTGAATGCTTGGGCTTTTAATACAGTATTCATATAAAGTGATAAATATTAATGTTATGAAAAAAAAAAACAGATGTGGAGGTGCTAAGCAGCTAGGATACCAGGGGCAAGGACTATTGAAGGAGAAATGCAGAATGCAAGTGAACACAAGATAGAAAACTGCTCCTGACTCGAGAGTGGCAGAGAATGATGAAACAGTCACACAAACCTAAAAGGCCACCTTGCTGGTCCTCAAGAGCCTCTCCAGCAACACCCAGAAGAGCTTAATCAATCACACTGCTATTGTTTGCATCTTTAGTTAGGAGGAATCCCAATAAACAAGGTGCCCAATGGCTCTGAGTCAACAAGCTAAATCATATTCAATAAACCCTATTTAAGAGTAACTAGTTGACACAAGCAAGAAATAACTAATGCATGTTACATAATCTCAATCTATATCTCCCTAAGATACTTAAGAAAAATAGTAACTTTACAGTGAAGAAATCTGGCAAATATCACATTAATTTTCCCTCTGAAGCATCCTTACCCAAAAGACACAAGAAAACATCTATTCTGGACTCAGGAGATAAAAGCATTTGCTGCACAAGTGGGAGGACCTGAGGTCAGATCTCCAGAACTCATGTAAAACTGAACATGGTCTATAATCCCAGCCTTCCTATGATGAGATGGAAGGCAGAGACACGTGTAGGCCAGCTAGTCTGGTATACATAGCAGTGAACAAGAGACCCTGTCTCAAACAAGGTGGAATCTAAGGACTGACACTCGAGGTTACCTTCTGACTGCCACACAAGTGCTTTGGCACATACACCTGCACTTACATACACAAATATACACATCTATTCTTAAAAAAAGGCATCAAAAGCCAGGCATGGTGGCGCACACCTGTACTCCCAGCACTCAGGAGGCAGAGGCAGGGGCAGGAGAATCTCTGTGAGTTCAAGACCAACCTGGTCTACATAGTGAGTTCCAGGTCAGCTGGGACAACAGGGAGACCCTGTCTCAAAAGACGAAAAAAAAAAAAAAAAGAAAAGAAAAAAGAAAAAAAAAGAATAACTCAAAATGAGGGGCCCCCTATAAAACTACTAATCTGTATTTAATAAAAAAAGAGTCCAGGTCATAAAACATAAACAAGGAGCAAGTAATTGTTTCTGATTAAAAGAAAACCAAAGAGACATGACAACTAATTTTAATTTGTGATCTGAGATTTTCTTTTCCCATAAAAGCCATTATTGGAGAATTGAAAAAAATCTGAGTGAGGCCTGTAGATATACTAATATAGAATTCTAGAGTGTTTTCTAATTTTTAAATTTTATATACAGAACAATTTATTCTTTTTGATGTATAAAGGCATATGACTTTTGAAAAAAAGCATGCGGATGTGTACCTATCCCACAATCACATTCTAAAACAATTCTGCCATTCTCCCAATTCCTCTGTAATGCTCCTTTACAGTCAATCATATCCCCACTGAAAACCACTCACTTTTGTTTTAGCTCAACAGTTCTGTCATTTTCAGAATGTCATACGAATGGACTCATATAATATACAACCTTTTGAATCTGGCTTTTTTTCTAAGTTTACCATAACATACTTGAGATCTATCCATGCTGTTGCATAAATTAGTATTTCCTTCTTTTTTTTCCCTTTGAGACACAGTCTTACACTTGTAGCTCAAGTTAGCCTAGAACTCACCTGTACCCTACGGTAGCTTCAAACTCACAGCAATCCTCTTGCCTTGCCCTGCCAAGTGCTGGGATTACAGGCATGAGCCACTATGCCTGACTTCTTTCTTTCTTTTCTATTACATGGATATCCATAGTTATACACTCAATTTCCTGATTTTGATCTTATATACAATCTGTAACTTTCAAATGGTTCAGAAAAAATAATGGGTAAATAAACGTGTGTATGTATAGAGATAATAAAAATGGAGCAGCAGCATCAACATTTGGTGCCCTTGTGTGAAAAGCATAAGGGATTCTTTGCACTGTTTTTTCAACAGGTTGTCATTGTTTGCTATGGTTCATGTTCAAACAGTTGGTCCTGGGTTGATGGCACTGTTTTAGGAGGCTATAGAACCTTTTGGGAGGAGGCCTGGTTGGCAGAGGTGGGTCACTAAAGGTAGGCCCAGCCAGGCTTCTAGCCCAAGCTCTGTGCTTCCAGTATCTGCTTACAATATGACCACCTACCACAAGCTCTCACTACCAGGGACTGAACAGCTGCCAGGCCTACCTGGCTGTGATGAACTCTAAACTGTGAGCCAAAATAAATGCATCCTCCATCAAGCTCCTTCTGCCAAGTATTCTAATAAACTATTGAGAAAAGTAACAAATCTAGAATAAAATATTAAGAAATGATGGGAGTAGTCAGACATGGTGGTGCATGTTTTTAATCCCAGCACTCAGGAGGCAGAGACAGGCAGATCTCTGTAAGATGAAGGTCAGCCTGGTCTATATAGTGAGTTCCAGGCTAGCTGGGGCTACAGGGAGACTGTTAAAAACCCCTCCAAAATATAACTGAAACTTTTTTGAGACAGAATCTCATGTGGCCCATGTCCTCAAAGTCCTCATAGCCAAGGATAACTTTGAGTTTCTGATCCCCCGTACCTACTTTCCCAGCACTCAGGATTAAAGACATGTGCAATCATATCTTGTTTCATGTGATCGCAGGAATCAAATTCAGGGTTTTGTGCATTCTAGACACAGAGTCTATCAACTTTGCTATATCCTTAGCTCCTGAAATTTATAGTCACACAACTCTCTAAGTAACCTGACTGCTGAAAATGGTCATTCCCTACATTCAGATGGAA